CAAGGGCGGGCAGGCACGAATGAAAACTTACTAATGTGACAACGTTAAAGCAGAAAATAAATTAAAAAATATTCAGCATAAAGCAACTGATAAGAGCGGTGAAGCACTACAGCTAAAAGGCCACGAGGGAATGTTAACACAGCTGCTACCCTTTCAGAGGAACAGCATTGCCATTTCTGCACATAAAACTACTTACACACCCGGATAGGAGTCTTCATGACCACTTAAGAGTGCAGAGAAAAACTGAACGAGTAAAACACATACATACTTTAAAAAATAAGAGGAATGTGGATTCCTTGCATAAAGGAACGAAACAGCTCTAGGAGGAAATGTTCTAGGAGGCTGCAAATGGTGGGAAGAGGAAGAAAGAGGGGTAGAGAAGGAGACACTGCTTTCAGTAATGAGGATGACAGCAGCATTTATAAAACTTATTTTTTTTCCAAATTATAAATGGAGTAGCTTCTAATTACTTATGTCCTGACGAGCCTGCTCTCACCTTCTCTACTCATACAAATAAACCAACATGCGGTGCCAGAATTTACATGATCAGTATAAGACTTGGGGGATATTTTGTATTAGAGGAATAATTATTAGCTGAAAAAAACACTATTTTCTTGGCTATTTTATCACCTAAAGTGCTTTAAAAAAGAGCCAAGAAAATTTGGATTTTTTTTTTGTCCTGAAGCTCTGATTTGTTCCCTATAGACTCCCTTTGCACACATGACATTGGGAAGGCAGGATACAGAGCAATAGAGCTCTTTTAGAAACTTTTCTCTACATTCATACATTTCCCCCCCCCACTTTATATATGCATAGAAATTCATTATTTCAGACCAAGACGACGATTACATCTCATTTCGTTTGGACTCTACTGAAAATGTTCAAATTTGAATATCTAAATGTAGGAATTTGCATTAAGTTTTTCAGTTACTCAAGTGATGGCTCAGCTAGCATAGCTGCTCAGTGCATGCTATAGAATAGGGAAAAAAAAAGTGTTTGGCAACTGTAGATGATGATGTATGTAACAGCAGATATCGATATTTAGAATTTCTGATTTTATACTCTGTGCCAAAGAACACTCATCCAACACTAAGTGTGGGACTGCCATCTTCAAAAAAGAAAATATGCACAATTACCTAATAGCTGCTTTCTTTTCATACTTCTAAGCCCAGTACAAAGGAATAGAGATACACATCTTTACCTTTTTAATGAACATTTTCATTTTCTACACATCTTTTCAAACTCTGATTATGGCATTGATGGTGGTTTGGGAGAACGTACAATGCTTTCCACAGATTTTTTCAAGAACCTTGCAAGAATGGAGAATTCTAGATATGACCTTTTTTTTTTTTTTTTTTTTCCTCCCCTCTCTCTCTCTACTTTCTTTCCTTTTTCCTTGTAAAATTTTCATTTTTTTGTTGTTTTTTCCACAGCTTGCTTTCCCTGCAACACAGAAACCAACATTATTTTTACTAATAATAAAATTGTTAGGGAAATGTTGATTTTATGGTAATGCAAAGAACAGTTATGTAAGTGTATATCTTGGCCAACTAATGCACATACTGAGTTTTATTATTACACTTATTGTTTGCTCTGTCAATAGATAACATATATCAGAACATTCAAGTACTGTGTCAAATTAATAAATTTGCCAAAGAATGTAAGAGTCATCTAAAAATGTAGGCAATGTTTGTTGATGCTTATTGGCCTGATTTTTTACTCTGTACACACGCTCCTTTCAAAACATATTGAATCAGTCCTTACCATGTGTGAATGTGTTGCATATTTAAAACTTTAAAATACACAGACAGAAGTGAAAGACAATTGCTTGTAAGTATTTCCATATGTTATTGCTTCTTCTGTTACTGCATCTACTATATATAGCCTATTGATGGACTACATGGACACACATACATATATATTATTTCCCCACCACCACTATGTAGTTACCTGCATGTAGTATAGAGGGAACTTTAGGAGACTTTTTTTTTTTTTTTTGAAAAGCCCAATAATAGAGATGTATGCATGAGAAATTCACATATTAACTTTCAAAAAATTGAGAATTCTCAGAACTTGCCAGTTACAGAGGCAGTACTTACCTATGGCTAGCCCAAAATACCATCTGCAGAGAAGCTACGGACTTTTTATGGTAATGCTCTTTCATGTTGCAATTTAGAAAAACTCAGAATAACTAAATGGTTAGAGAAGGAGGCATACTTGTGAAAAGATTAGACCATTCTGCTACAATGATCACAGAATCCTTAATAAGATCTATACAGAGAAACTCCTGTTCTTGCAATTTCATCTTTAACTTCCTCTTTTTGAATCTTGCCTATGAATGACCAGACTGGCCCTTAATACAGCTTACCTCAGAATCAATCAAAATTAACTCCAACTTGCATTGTAACTCCTGCTAAAGAGCTCCCATGCTTAGTTTTCTGTACAAGGAAAGAAAACATCTTAAGACATTGTAACCTGCTTCTATACAACATTTTCCCATAAAAATCCCATAGACGCAGGAGTGAGATGTGAAAGAAAAACACCCAAAAAGATACCTCAACTTAATGTTATCATTTTTTCTGTCAAACAGATGTAACTTGTTATATTGAACCACAGTATGTAAATCCCTATTTAATTCAGTCTTTGAACAACGATAACCTAAAACATAAGGTCATACAACCAATAGGCAACAGATCAAGTTTGTTGTAAATTTATTTGTGAGTTATTCTCAAGCCATGTTACAAAACATTTTGATAAGAAAATAAAATTTAAATAAAAATACATTCAACAATACATCATCATAATACAAATTAAAACTAATGGTAATTTACAATCCAAATAGACCTAATTACTGAATATCTTTCTAGACTAATCAAAATGAAGGCAACTGTTATTATTGATCATCCTATTTGTACCTAATTCAGTTCTAGAACATCTACTGCCTTTAAAAATATTAAATGAGATATTAAATCTTAATGATCACAAATATTAAATGGCCTTTTTTTCCCTAGATATTTCAGTACCAAAACAAAAGTGCATAAATTTTTACAAAATGTTGCAATAGCATAGAATTTAGACTGTCATTGAAAAAAAAAAAAAAAAAAAAACAGAAGATGGCTCCAAGGAACCAAGACTTCACAGCAGGATTGGCCAATACACCACGAAATTTAACTCTGACATTCAATAATTTTCAACTTTAATGGCAGCTTTTTAATGGTAATTCATCAGATCTTCCTGACTTTGGCAAAACACATTTCTTGGCATGAGTATTTCCCCCCCCCCCCAATTTCAAGTGATGCCAAATAAAAGTCCCTCAGAATACAAATATACATATAAAAAGACAAATCTAATTGCAGGTGATTAAATGATTGTGACAATGCAGATAGTTCTTCTAGATTTAAAACAATAATTTTTACAATAGTTTACATTCATTTCAAAAAATATTTCCATCTTGTCTTGTCAATTGGATTGTATTTCTGTAGAAAGCCTCCTTACAGTATTGCAAATGTATAGTACATTAGAGTTTTCAAGCATTGTGAATTTCCATTCTTTCTAATGTTAAGTTACATTCCTAATTATTTTGGGCAAACTACGATTGTAAAAACAAACAAAAAGACCCCACAGTAAATGCTCCAAAAAGAGTACCACACATAGAAAGTTATTATTAAAAAAATAATAATCCAAGGAGTACCATTGTATTTAATACTGCTGAAGCAAAGTTGCCAGAGTAATACCTTTGCTTCTTCCTGGTTCTATACATATATACTCTTTGAACAAAACCTAAATTCTCAGATGAAGTGAGCAAAAAAATTAATCTTTCTAAAGTCAAGAATGCCAGATTAAAACTGTGTTAACTGGCAAATAAGAATCCATACAACTAAAGACACGAAAATATTACTTTAGCATTACCAAAACAATGTTGATCATTTAACTGATCATAACAAGCAGATACTACAAAGTATCTAAAAATAATCTGGGATAGTCCAGATATCTAAAGTGCTTTGAGTGATTATACTACAGATGAATTATTTATTAGACTTGTAGTCAAAAGATAAACTGGACATAATTACTACTTTTTATTAAAAAGAAAATCGTATGTGGGATCATGTAAATTGATCAGTACTGTCTTAACCACAATCCGCTCATGCTTGCATTTTTCTGCCTTTAGATAAACTCTTAGGGGCTGAGGGGAGATGTTGCTACCCTGCATTTCTTAATAAAGAAAAAAAACTGGACCTTAAAAAAGGTCCTAGAAGAAAGAGATAGTGGTCTAATGTCACTCTATATGTTACTCACCATAAATGTAAACATGAGGCACAATATACCTTCCCTGATTTCTTTTTTGTTAGTACTTAAAATAACTAACACTGGTATGTGCGGCCCAGATTATATGCAACATACTGCATGATTTTACGACTTCAGCATCAAGTCAAATCAAGTCCTGACAAAACCTAACATGAGAAAAAGAAAAGTCAAATGAGTTCAGTATGAAACTTTAGATTTTTTTTCCATGTCAAAGTATTTCAGGATTCCAAGATACATATCAGCAGGGCAGGCACTCATGGTAAACTGATACAAGTTTGCAGTATACATATACCCAGAGATGTAATCCAATCAATAATGGCTGTATTGATTTTCTTCCATTAAAAAGCTTATTTGTTTAGAGAGTTCTTCTCAGTCGGACAGAAATGGCAGAAAAAAATGATATTTATTCACATCTGTTGCTTCAAAAACTCGAAATTTTAAGTTCTTCAGCAAAAGGGGAATAAATTTAAGACCAGATTTCTAACCAGAAAATTTTCTATTAAATATTAAATAGATTGTCAACACAACTAGCATTTATGTTCATTCTTAAATACTTTCTAAAAGTGTAGGTAATGAATAAAAAAGAAAAAAAACACCAAAGACAACCCATGAAGTTTTCCAGTTTCTTCTTCATCCGCATAAGCCACAGTTTGTTTTGGTTAGGAAACTTTTCCAACAATTGGATTTTCTCTGGAAAAAAATTAAGTATCACATGTAGATATGTTCAAGGCAATACTTGCTTTCCAATTCTCATCATATAATTTAAATGGCAAACATTATTTGAACAATTTCTAATACTATTTGTCAAATGTTATTGTTTGCTGAAAATCTGTGCTTTTATGTCAAACTTATAAATGCATGTCCATTTTTCTAAATCTCTCAGATCAAATATTAAAACTAAGCAAACCAAACAGACATTCCTTCTGCTTCAAGCTTGCCTGATGCCAAGAAAACAGAAGCTTGACTAGTGTTGTTCTATAGATATTAGCTAGGATCAAAGAGAAATGAAAGAATCTGTTCTCTGGGACAGCTGGGTACTCCAAAGAACAGACTCTCTGAACATCACCAACAAATATATCTTACCATTTAATGTAGAAAGTGATTTAAAACCAATACAAATGCAGCAGAAGAGATATATACACATATGATTTTTTATACTTCTACATAACTTGGTATTTTAATTCTTTCCTAACTGAAGTTTTATTAAAATATCTAATATTATAAAAACATTTAATATTATAAAAACATTAGAAGGTAGGCAGTTAGGGGTAATATCTGAAGCTCACACAAAATTCAAGTCGCAAGGAAACAGAGTCCTTGCACCTGTTGGTGGAAATATCAACACAAACAGATAATACAAAAAGTTCCTCTAGCATGGATTTATCTAATGACTCGTAAAAAGTTCCACTAAAAATACAGCAAATTGATGTTTCTGTCTTGTCAAAATCTAACTTTAGCTTAAATCATCATTACCTCAAGAAGCCTAACCTCATTTAGTGATTTTTTTGCGCATGTTTACATATGCTCAAATTATTTAAGATACTTACTCACTGCCATATTTAGCACTAGATGATCTCTTCTTTTGATATTTTTCATGGGAGTCATTCAGCTTCTCTACTATGTCTATTATTTGTTTAAGCGTATGAAAGGTTGCTACAGAGTCTTCAATGGTGAAGCTAGAATAGTCATCTGGTTCTTTCTGGGGACCTTGATAGACTGCTATACTTCCACAAGCCTCTACAAAAATTATCACAAGTATCACATTAGAATCCTGAACCTTTAATAAGTATACCTCTTATAATGTAAACGGCAATTCTGATATATTAAGTTATTCTAGCTTATGCATAAGTAGCTTATACAAAAACAAGAAAGAGCATTAATTAGATGTACTTTTTTTTTGGCTTATGGTTGTATATTTATCTTTAGCATTTAGATCTCTCATGCTCACATTACCAGAAGGCCAACATTTTCTCAGAACTCAACCAATCTGTACATAATTCTTTGCATGTGCAGGAAAAGCAGAAAGTAGAGCAAAGACAGAGGAACAACTGACTATATCTGCAGGCATTCTCTTGTTTATACTACTGCTAAGATTTTCTATATGCAAAATCATTTAGAATAAGGTACATAGCCAGCGCTTCCAGAAGACTGTTTGATACCAGAGAACTAAGGACACAAAGATAATTCTATACAGCTTCTATTATTCAGATAATGTCAAGACATCAAATTGATATCATGGAGCTAAGGAGAAGAGGTGATTAACACCACTATAGTTCTTCTGAATTATTAGTTAAATACCTTCCAGCTTCTGCAGTTTGGATATGTTGATGGTGAAAAGTGAGTAAATTCTCTCTGTTTCTCTGTCTCCATCAATCTCAATTTGTGTATCAGCAGGGACATCTCTAATTGAAAGAAAAAAAAGAAAAAAAAAGACAAAGATAGAAAGATATGGGTAGTCAATGCAATTCATTCTCTAAAAGGTTAAAAGCAAATAAAAACTGATTCAGTTTCAATATGCTTAGCCTTTTATTATGTCTATTACTCACAGAAAATTTCACAATTACTAGACAAAATTTAGCATTTATTGTGAAGATTACAGAATCAAAAATATAAAGTTGAGGAGGAAAAAGTCCAGAGCAGTACTAAAAGACCCTTACAATAGAATTTATTATTCAGTACTTCAAAAGAAATAGTATTTCAAAATACTAAAGTAAGTTTAACATAAACTGACAATTAAATGATGGTTTTAAAAGCTGCTGTACTTGGAAATGACCAGAAGAGAAGCACAAGCCACATTCCTATTAGAACCCCTAAAGCAACATAAGATGAAAACAATAAAAAGTTACTTAGAACTGAAAA